TCTTTCTGTCCTACAGCAACAGAGATAAACTTAAAAAAAAAAACCCTCTCTAACAGCTCAGAGAACAGGATATTTATATAAAGATGTCCTAACAAAAGAAAAGCATGCAAAACTACCTTAAATGGATAAACAAACTCCCTGTTTGCAGAGTGCCCTATTGAGCTCAGCTCTCAGAAATCCCCTCCAACCCTCAGTCAACAGGGTCAACATATCTCAGCTGGGTTTTAAATTTTTATACAAACCTCCTCAGCATCCTTTGTTCACCAACCCTTTAAAATCAGGGAAACTCAAGCAGGTGTGCCTTTAAGGCCCATTTTGCTGCTAGCTGCTTTAGTTTCCCTCTCCCAGGCAGTAAGATATTTTAGAGGGTTTTTTGTTGTGTTTTTGTTTGTTTGTTTGTGGGGATTTTTGTTGGGTTTTTTTGCTTGTTTTTTACTTCTGTCTTCATCTGCAAAGGCTGCACTGCAGGTCCTCCACAGCCCTTTTGAGACACACCTTGTAAAAGGACAGCAGTTCTGTGGAACACATACAACAAGCAGTACCCCCTCCTGTTATTTCAGCTTGGCTCTCTGCAATTTGCTGCTGTTGGTCACACTGCTGCCACAGCCCACTTTGAACTGGCCTCCCTCTCCTCCCAAAGTTATTCTCTCCCTCCCTCCCAAGACAGCAGCAGTGCCTTTATCCACTCAGGGCTCTGCCTTGCACATACTGAAGGGAAAAACACAAACCCACAAACCCCAAACCAACCCACAGCTGTTCTAGCACAAAGAACTGGGACTGCCCAAGGTGACAACTGGGCTACCTCACCTAAAGCTAAGAGTGTGTGGTCCCCAGGTGGGGTCAGGTTTGTCAGGGGTTTCCTTCCAAACTCAGCTCTGAGATCTGAAACAACATCAACAATTAAAGCATCACTGCCACCTCCACCTGAACTCAACACAAGCAGAGTTTGAATTGCCTCAGAAAAGTCTAAGAGGACAGGTTCAGCCAGGGCTACCTGCACAGCCAAGACTGACATCTGAAAGTGACTCTCTGTCTCCTTCCAAGGCATCTGTGAGTTACAGACAGCCAGTCATTCTCCATCCCCTTTGTCTTCAAGAAAATTTAATATGAATTTAGCTCCTTTTGGATCTACTTCCAAGCTAGAGGCCAGGCCATCTGCAATATTTTCACAAGTGACAAACTGGATTAAAAGCACACAGAACACCCACTCTGGACTCACTCACTTCCAAACCATGGTAATTCAGGACAGAAGGGACACCACATTTACTGTGAAGCTGCAACCTGCACACTGACATGCCAGTGAAGGAACTCACTGTACAGAGGGGAACTGGAGTTTCCTTTTCTTTTGTGCTGTCCCCTCATTGACAATAACGTCCTCTAAGCCATCTGCTGGAGTCCTGTAACAGGAACGGAAATGGAAGAGCTCCAGTGGGAACTCAGGGGTTTCTTTCTTTTTCCCATGAACTGAACATTATGGAATTTTAACAGATGTTCTACTTGGTCATACTTAATAAAATGAATTATGCAGGAATTAAAAATCTGGCTCCATTTGCCTATAAAAGATCTCAGCAGCAGAAGTCCATTCCCATTTAGGAATTCTAAAGGATTTGCAGTGGATTTATAGTCTGCTCCTGCCTTATTATGAGATGGCTGGAAATTTTACCAGTTAACTTTTCTCTGTTGTGGAAAACGTGAATAAATTTACCTGTTCATTGATTGATCTTAGTAGCATGATCCAGTTTCCACAGTGCTGCACACTGGTACACTACAGCCATTGGAAGGGGCAATTCTCACTTGGATTTGCTTTGGAAATGACATCATGGGAATTCCACATCATTTCACAGCCTCTGATTTCTGCCATTTATTCAAAGTCTCATTGAGCAACCTAATAACCATACTCCCACTTTGTGCTTTATTACAAAAGCCTTCCTCTTGGAGCACAGATGTCTCTTTCAGGCTTCTGCTGCCAACAGAATGATGCACTGTACCTCACCTCCCTTTCCATTTTAGGATTAGTTCATCAAAGGAAGATGTAAAGACCAAAATGTAACAGAGATGTGAGAGAAGAGGCACCAAAAAGGTGAAAAGAGTCACAGCCAAAACTTTCAAGCCTGGAGGTTCACTCAAAGTTATTTCCAAAAGCATTATGCATTTAGCCATCTTCCTTCCCTTCTAATATCCAACTGCTCAGAAAGCATTCTGAGAAGATAAAGGAGATAAGTCAGAGTGAGAATCAAAACTGAAGGATGAAACCTTGCACCAGCAGAGCATCTGAAGCCAATTACATGGAGCAGAGTAAGGCTGTCCTGAAGAGATCTTCTGTATTAAGCAAGATGAGGCTTCCACACCACACTCCATTTATAAACAGACTTATTTTCACTGAAATTCAATCAATTGGCAAGCAGATCCCTGTCCAGAAATCTTCTTGCTATAATACACAAAATTTTATCCCAATGTAAAAGCTAAAATGAATCTTTCTTAAACTCCAGCTCAAGAATTTTGCCAATGCAAGAATATAATAATCTGAAAGGCATCAATATTCCCAGACTCTTCCATTTTTTTTAATGAAAATTAATGTATTGAAGACCCTCTATCCAAAAATTCCCACCCCATTATAACTAAACACAGGGGTTTGTGTAGGTAGAGAACCAAAGCATGTAAACAAACCTTGTAAGTATGAAAGTCAGCTGGAATTAAGTACCACCTGATACATGCTATGTAGCTATCAAGATGTGCCTAATAATGAAGTAATATAGATTTTTATCTGAAAATAAAGACCCTAAAGGAAGAAGTGTACTCAAAGAGAAGAAAAATACCAATATTAAACGTCAGACTTACAACAGCTCCAGCTGAAGGTGCAAAAAGCTGTTATTCGAGTGGACATTGCTTTACAAAATTTAGTGTCAGAAAAATGCAACAATCTTAACAGTGTTAAATTCAAAGATTTTTTCTTTTACTTTTTAAACATCACCTATGATTTGCTTCATTTTTAAGAGAAAGCACATTTCATTTAGTAATAATTTATTTCTCATTCTATTGGACAGATTCTTCCAAAAAGCAATACTTCAACTGAAATCAGTTCTGAAGGATCTTTTATGAATACACATAATGAAGAGGACTCCCATTAAATTTCCAACAAAGTGTTGCCATTTTGAGTAAACAAAGTTATCTCAGCAGGGTCACACACTGTGCCACGAATATGGTCTGCAAATTAATTACCACCCTGACATATGTCAAAACAAATTTTAAGGAGAATACCACACAGTAGCAACCATGTGCTTTATCTACCTGTTAGTATGCAAAATCTGTACTCAATGGCATCTAAATTTATTCATTTATTCAGAACCCCTCTGAGAAATCAAAATTATTCGTATTCATTCACCTTTTATGCTCGTCAGCAAATGAAATCTGAGTGAATAACACGTTTAGTGAGCCAGAAAATAAGTACAGGACAAAGCTGTGGTGGGGGTTACATTTCAGAGAAGCAGGTGTCATCTTTGCACAAATAACTAATTTTTTTAACTCTTCAAACTGTTACAATAAACTGCAGTGCATTGGCATTTGTCAGGAACTTTAAGGAACACCAAGTTTGATGTTTCTTGTTTTAGGTAATATCCATCTTTATTCTGTGCTTGTGACAAGAGCTGGCCAACATAACTGTCCTGAAAACTGTTTTCAGCATGAAGAAAGGCTTTAAAAAGCAGAGCTACTGAATGAAGATTAAAAAGCCTCTGCAACTGGCTTTATTACCAATGACAACACAGACCACAGATCCGAGCCTGTGCTTGAAACAAAAGAGGGAAGATCCAAACCCACCTTTAAGTATCCAAACTTAACTTTTATTCACTTGAGTTAGATAAGAAGACAAACCCACACACCAGATCAAAAATGAGCCATGGAAAGCCCTTCCTGGACACCAGTGGCTGTGTCCAGCCACATGCCAGGAGAGAATTCCTGCCTGGGAGGGTGGGGAGCCCCTGGCACAGGGTGCCCAGAGAAGCTGTGGCTGCTCCATCCCTGGAAGCATCCAAGGCCAGGCTGGACATTGGGGCCTGGGGCAACCTGGGATACTGGAAGGTGAGGGTGGAACAAGATGGGTTTTATGGTCATTTCCAACCCAAACCTTCCTGTGATTTTATGTTTTCCTAGGAACCAGTTGGTCTCTCTATTTCAGGTACATGCACATCATGCAACTTCTGTTTTGTCAAAAGATGATCTCTTGGGATCTGATACTGAAATAATTTTAAACAGGGAGTTTATCAGTAGGTTTTTCTACTTATTTTATAAACTTCCCCCAGTTAACACAGCCTATCAAGCACTTCCATGACACTAATCCTGGAATTCACAGTACATTTATGACAAGATTTTACTTTAGTATTATCTGAGTGGGCCAAAATATTTTTAGCCCTATTTTTTTTCCTAACAGTGAAATACTTCTGATTCAGAGTTAAGTAATGCCATATCAAATCTACAGACTAAATGCATTTCTTTCACGCATTAAAAAATAAGAAAAAAATAGAGAGAGCACAATCCTCTTTATATACAGATGACAAACAATCCCTTGGCATCTGCTGACGAATATATTTAAAGAAAGCCTAAATCTGTCTGTGCTAAACTTGGCCTGATGCCACCAGTTCACCATTGTTGGCATATATAGTTCACATGATGCAATCACAAGACTTGAGAAAGTTTCCAGTACTTTAGTTTATGGTTTTCTCATGTTAACATATACCTTTCCATCCTTTTTCAATTCAGCAGCAACAGAACTGGGAGAGAGGATGGCAAATTAATTTTTCCATGTATCCAAGGTTTTCTTAGTGCTCATTATCAGTGTTCTATTTAAATTACAGGCTGGTAACTTACCTAGAATGAAATATGCTGGGATTTAGAGCTTAAGGTTAGAGCAACTAATCTCAATTGTACTATTGTCTCTTGTTAGAAAACTGAGGCAAAGGAAGCAATTTAAAAAAAGCTAAAAGAGAAAAAGACAAGTGTTTTACCTCTCTTAGTACGGTGCTTTTATAACCCCGATAAAGTCCTTGAATGCCCTGTAAAGCAACAAAAGAAAGCATCATCCAGGGAATGAGTTTGTCAAAGACCACAATTTATTGGTGATTATGAGGCAAGCATTACAGCCTTAAAGTGTCACACCTCAGCTTCAAATTGACTGTAGTGATTATAACACTGTATACTGTATTTGATTATTTACAGTGCCAGAGGGTTTTATTTTCACCTCTTTAGCCTTGATTCAGAGCCTTTATCAAGACAAATGTTTTTATGTTTTTAACCAACTGAAAATACTCAAGACAATTAAAACTTATATAAAATAAGTGTATATAAAATTATGTTGTTTATTATTATAGGGCACTTAAGTATTTGGCAAGGCTTATGGTTCTCTGGCCAGCTATATGGAAAAGGAAAAACATATGGTTTTGACAGAATCAGCTTTTAAAGCATAATCAAGTCAGAGAAAGAAGTTCTAGTGACCCTCTTGTGCAGGGTTATCACAACAGTTTCCATTTGAAAGCAAATAAAAATCAAGTGGATCATTTGAAGGTCATATTTATGTCTTCCTTTCCCTGGGTTTTACACTCAGAAAATGTATTATAATATTTTTCCCCACACTGTTTTCAGGAGCTGCTTTCTCTTATGGAACACAGCTTGAAAATCCCCCCTTGTGAAACTCTGCTAAAACAGACATGAACAGGGTTTCACAGGAGGGATCAATATAACTCCTGAAAAGAAGACAAAGGCCCTTATTTTTCAAAAGTAAGTAATACTGGATGAGCACTCATTTCCAGAATTCCTCCTGGCTCCTGCAGAGCCTCTCTGAAATGGTGCCTTTTGGACATCCCCTCTAAAGCCTGCTTCAAAAACTGGGAACCATTCAGCAAACTACACACAGACTCGATGTGCTGCTGCCCTAGACAAGGACTGTTTGCAAAAATACAAGCAGAGCTTTGGAATCTGGAAGCTAAATCCCTTTTTTTTAGTTTTTTCCCCCTCATCTTTAAATGTAGGTATCCCATATAAAAGGAGGAGAAAAAAAGAGTTGCTTGGAGCATGCCCCGGGGGAGGTGGGGGCTTGGTTTCCTTGATCAGAACATGAGAATAGATGGAAAAGTGCTGGGAAAGCACAGAACTGCAATAAAGTTGTAGGAATGCTTCTGGATGTGTATGGCACTGAGTGGGAAGGATGAAAATTTTGAGGAAATTTGCTCTGGACTCACCTCGTGGTACAAGGTGTGGGAGAGAATCCGGAGAGTGCTCGAGGAAGGAGAAACCTGAGCCCGTTGCTTGACAACCTCGGATGGAACCCGTATGAGACAGGCAACCTGCGAAAGAACCTGAACTTTGAAAGCAGCAGTAGATTTGAGTTGATAAAAGCATTGATAAAACCAAAATTTGAATCCACACTGTCTTTTGGCAGTCACAGGAACTGACTGTTCCCTTTCCACAGGACTGTTCCCCCCACACTTTCACAGATTTAAAGTGGAGATTCAGGACTGTAAGACCAACAAACTTCTTTCTTTGGTAATTCCTTTGTGCCCTCTAGTGACTGATAGTGGGAGCCATTCTGGTCAGCTTTAGACACAACATATTCCAAGGTTTACCTTAAAATACACACCATGCTTCATTCAAGGTAAAGCACTGGATTGATCCCTTCCTGCAAAATGAATTTACTGGACTCTGCAGCTGGATGTAATAACGTGGCTGCTGTCAAAAAGCTCCAGCTTTGCTGAAAAAAGCCAGGCTTGGATTTTAAATATTCACCTGCCGCTTTGGCTTGAGGTAGGGGTTAAGCTTGTGTGCACATCGTTTCACAGAATGAGGATCCTGAAGTGTGGGAGTTACGAGCCTCTCATCTCTCTAGAAAATGCCTATTCATCAGCACTTAAAATTTTAGGCAGAGTTTGTCTGCAGTTGGCTCCAGGGATATTTAAAGCAGTGATGGGACAGGTGACAAAACACTGCAGATCCCACAGGGCTTTGCCAGATTTTTGCCTGCCTTGAGACCACCCTGTGCTGGGCTCAGGAACACACTGTAGTTCCCAGACACAAAGGTGATCACAGAGCACTTCAAGTGCAGAGCAGCCCAGGTGAAAGCTGTCCATCTGAAGTGGCAAACCAAGCAGCTAAGTGGGAAATCCATGTGTGCCAAAGAAAGTACAGGAATTCACTGGAGATTGCACAAACACAGTAACTTGAGTGGTCATTTGTGGGTAAAACAGTACAAGGTTTAAGTTTCATTTTCACAAAGACACCAAGAAAAAAATCTGTTATCTTGTTACATTCATACAAGTTTACTGGACAACAATATCCAAAAGTCATTACAAACAGATCTAACTCCATGTGCTCTTCAATTCTCAGGGTCAAAAATAACAAGTGACCCCAATCTGTCAAGAAAATAAGAACTGTCAAGTTTTTTTGATAGTTCAGCATAAATATTTATAGAACTTCATGCTTCATAACACTCCGTGTCCTTATATTAGCTTTTTATTCCTTAAAAATATGGAGGCAGGAGGAAAGCTTTAAAAAGGCTGGGATGAAAACAATCTAGTCAATCAAGACCAGACAAAGAGCTCAGCGTGGCTTCCTGACATCTGGGGTGCTGCAGTTTTGGCAGGAGAAGGGTGGCTACAAAGTAATGTCTCCATTTCCCCCGACTACTTGGGGTGCATTCATTTCAAATTAGCTTTGATGTTTCTTCCATTTGAATTTGCGCTTCCAAGGGAGTCTGTGGCTGCACAAGAACAAAAACAATGATTACACTGTGCTGTTCTGAAAGGAAATAAAGGCTCATGTCACCTGGGCAGTGCTGTCAGATTGGTTCCACAGGGCACTTCTGGTATTCAAAAAGCCACGAGGTGCAGCTGCCAACATCAGAACTGCACGGTGACATTTCCACTGTGCTCCTGAACTTACAGAGTGCTACCTTGTTTGTTCCTACACATGCACCTATCAACAACAACCCCAGCAGGCTTTTGATGTGGAGAGCAGGGCTCTGAAGGGAAGTATGCAAGATTAAGTTCACATGTATCTTATTAAAAAAGTACCAGCCTGGCTGGCGGGTGCAGAAGAATCTCAACTCTCTCACACTCAGATCCCATCACTGCAGCACCCTCCAGGTAATCCTGCCCAAGGTGAGAGAACACAATGCACCTCTCCAGGCTGTGCTTTCTGGGGCAAGGCTGTTCAAGCAGCACCAGTATGGCAACACTGCACTGAGAGTCCACACTTTAATTTTCAGATGTGAAAGCTTTGAGCAGTTGGCGCAGGAAGGGTGAGGTCCCACACTCACACTTCCACCTGCATCCACCACAGGATTAACAGACATGGAACACTGACAATAACACAGCTCAATAACAATCAGCTCCCTAATCACCAAGGTCCCAGGGAGAAACTGCTTTTTAATCTCCTGGAGTTCACACAGATGTAGCCTGTTGCTTGGCACAGAGGAGCACAATACAGCCACCAGGCTCAGGGTGTTCCTGGTGCATCCTGCTGGATTTGGGGGTGACCTTGTGACAAATGAGCTCTGTGCTGAACATCCAGAGCCAGCCAGAGAGAGGGTCCAGCAGTGGGCTCACAGCCACCCCAGCTGACATTAGGGCATCAGACAACAGCACCCCATTGACAGGGGCCACACTCATTTTCCCAGTGAGCCAGGGGCTATTCCCATCTTTTGATGGGAGCAAAAAGACTGAATCAGGATCCTGGGAAAGTTCAGGTGCTGCCCTATAAGCTCCTTCTTTATTTACCAGGTCAGGCAGCACAATGTCAATGCACATCTATACATACCACAAGGGCAGGAAGACAATAATACTGAAACAAAAGGCTCAAGAATTTTCAAATTTAAGCTATAGGAAGACCTGATTTTACAGCTACAAGCAAAGCTGTTAATAGTTTACAGAGCAGGTGTGCAGAAATTACAATATTAGCACCTATTACCTTTCCATCTTTTTAATGCTATGATCACTTCTGAGCAACTGGGTACTGAATTTCAAAATCCTTGTCTCAAATCATTTACTGGGTCAGAGGGTGACTCCAGCACCCAGACAAAAACCTAAGTGCATTTTAAATTTAATTTTAATTTACTGACTTGCATTAGCCAGTCAGGAACAAAAGCTAAAAACAGGTGTATTTCATTAACATTTATCTATGTATTGCTAAGACCGTGTATGTTCTAATTAAATTAAGGTAATTCCTTTCCACTGTCAGTCGAGGGAAAAGCATTTTAACTTTTGGGTACCCCTTGCACGAACCAACGCTGCCATCTCCTGGTGGGATTTATGTTGGAACCAGACTGTCCTGGTTGTTCTGAAGAATGACCAGTGCAAATAAAGTCTCCAAAGTGCCAAGAAACTTTACATATACATATATATATATATACATACCAATTGAAACAGTTTGTTTCAGTATAAATGTGGCTGTAGCAAACAGAAAATCAGATCTGCTGTAAATAGCACCAGGAACCTGCCCAAAGCCTTTCCTATGGGCTCACTAAGTTTACTGGAAACACCTGATCTTAAAATTGGAACTTCTGCATGGGGCCAATCCCACCTAAAGTTGGAGCAGCTGTTCAGAATCGGGCAGATTCATCTAATTCAGCACAATATCCAGCACTTTTCTTTATATAATAAAAAAGAACAAAAGGGGCATAGTTCTGCTTACACAGAGGCTCAGGACAAAGGGACAATGCCAACATCTTCAGAAAAGAATACAACTCCTAGTCTTCAGTGCCATATTATGATCCAAATATTAACATATCTTATTTGGATTAACAGCCTTTTCCTTCCACCCTTTGTACTCCAGGAAAAGTGTTTTCCCCCTGGCTGGATTTGTAGGGTTTGGTAGAGAATCAAAGATAACACACACATTTTGCTTTTAGGCACCTCCACTACAGTTTGACCACTAACTGTGCACGAGTTGTACCCAGGAATATTTGGAAGAGGACAGAGCAGGTGCCATAATTTCTGATGGTCAGAATTGCCCATAAATTCTGATGGTCAGACCATAACAGCTGATGGTCTGACTCACACTCCCAAAAGCTCCCCCAGCCATCAAGTCTGAGCACTTGTTATCTTTATCAAGAGACATATTAGCCCTGCTGTAAGAGCCTGCTGAAGAGCGAGCCCCATTTCTGGCAGGATGAGCTCCTGGCTAATGAGCTGGACTGTTCTCTGCACTAACCTGGGCTTAACTGAGCATCAAGACCAAATATTTTCCCACTTATTAATTAGCCAGCCATTCTGCTCCACAGCAGGAGAAGGGTACTCAGGACAAAGCCCTATTCTGGAATTTGTGATTTAGGAACCTGCACTCAGTGACTCCGAGCAAAACTCTGCCTTGCATAGCTAAATTATGAAATTCTCTACTTAATTGAAAATTAAGTAGAGAAACATGGAGAAAGCTCCAGAAATCTTGTATTTTGTTTCAGCTTTAAACCATTTAAAAACCTTTCTAAAGGATTTCGATATTTAAATTTCTCAAACAGGATATTAATTTTAGGGACTTTATCTGCCCGGGTAGGCTGGGAAGCTTTAATTGATGTTCCCCATATTATTTCAATACTTATCACAAAACTAAAGGAATATGCCTGGGGCAGTTTCTCTTAAATGTCATTTGCATAAATTGATTCTTAATCAAATAATATTATTTATGACACCATAAAATTTTGCATCCAGAGAGCAGAAACTTTAGGCTAAACCTCACAATACCTGTGCAAGATAATCACTAACCCATTAGGGAGGAAAAGCTGCTGCACAAAAATGACAACAACAAAGATGCTATGATTTATCAAAGGACATATGTTTAGGCTGCAGTCAATCTGCTAACAAAATCCTAATCTCTCACCCCATTTCTGAAGGTCAGAAGGATTGCTTGCTGAACAGAATGTAAAATAAGCAAGAAAAATAGAACAACTCTAAGATCCCGTTCAAAGAGAAGCAGCAATAAATTGGGATTTTTTGGGTTTTTAAGTGTAACCTGCTTTAGCCCTGACTATACTGCTGCAGACAAAAGCTACCTTAGAGCTCAAGTTTGCTTTGTTGCTGATTTTCTGTGTGTTCTGTTTCAAGGGGTTTTTTAAATATTAAAAAAATGCTGCTTCTAAAAATAGCTTAATATGTCATAATCTGAACATCTCAGTTTCTATGTCAAATGCCCCCTTCTAAGTAGGAAGGTACTATTTTTAATCTGAAACATGAAAAACGTCCTTTTCCCTTTCTCAGATAACTGAATTATTAAAATAATAGGCAAGTTTAAAATTTAAAAATTTTAAATTGCACCGATTTCCTCTGGATCTGGAGAATAAAGGGGAAATTTCCCTCTT